ATTTAGGATTGCAGATGAAAATCAAGAAAAAGCAATCAAATCTCAAAAACAAGTATCATCTCTATCTTCAAGCAAGTTTTGCTATATTAGTCTAAGTCTTCATGGATTGCATAATTCATCAGAAGATATAAAATCTGGAAAATCTCAGGCTAATATTTTTTCATGATTTAATTTTATTATTAATTATTTTAATAAACAATTAGTTCTTAATTTTAAATGTATAGATCCTAATTTATTAAAGTCTAATGAAACATCTACTTCGAATGTTACAACTTATGATATTGATCCGAAAGAATTTCAAGAATGCATTGATTGGGAAAAAGAAATTCAAAATCATACCAAAAAACGATCATTCTCAACTTTAGATTGTGATTCCCAAGAATCTAAAGAATGCATTAATTTGGGTGAAGATGATAGAGTGACACACAATGATAAATATACCTACCCTGATAAACCTTAATTCTAACCCCTGCGATATACGATAAGAGTCTATACTCCATGCACAGGTTAAATTTCCCTAAATTAATTCTGTTCAAAGACCTTTGCAACACACTATAACAATGACAAAATTCTCGGATAAATCTATTTATTTTTCGTTGGCAGATTTTTTAAAATTAACTACGGCGTGTTACTATTTTCAGTAATGAGTTATTTAAATTTGAACGGACTTGACAGATTTGATTTATTTATTCTTGTTTTTGTAAAATCTTTGAAATTTATAATGAAAATTTTCGTCAAAACGTTGACTGGAAAAACCATTGAATTAGAGGTAGAGTTGAGTGATACCATAGATCAAGTGAAAACTAAAATTTAAGACAAAAAAGGTATCCCCCAGACTAGCAACGTCTCATCTTTGCTGGAAAAAAATTGGAAGATTGTCACTCATTATCTGATTATGACATCCAAAAAGAATCTACAGTTCAGATCACGTGAAGAATGTTTCAAAAAATCATTGGTCACCAAAATTTCAATGAATTACCATCACTCACACAATCAGAACAAAGATAATCAATCCGAACAAACTTCTGAAGATAATCAATCAGAATAAACTCTTGAAGATAGTAATTCAGATGTAGTTCAAGTTGGTATCAATAGTGATAAAAGTGAAAGGAAAGATGCAAGGTTAACCATTCCATCATAGTATCAATTTCTCTATTAACTATGTTAACTACATTAAATGTGTTAATTTTTTCCTTGCTGATGAATTCTTTATATATAGTGTCTCTTATTTTTTCTCACTTTTATAGATGTTGTATCAAAGTTTCCAACTTTCTTCATAATATGCAACATTGTTTCATAAATCTTGAATCTCGCGGAAGCTAAAGATATTTCAACAGATATCTCCACCAACATTGTGGTTAGGAATTATTAGCCTGTTATATAAGAAGGAATGACGAAGATTATCACCTGAAATACAAGAACAATATTATAAGGTTGAAACTGATTCTACATGCGGCAAAGATTGGATGGATGTCACTGACCGGATGCAGCATGATTTGGTTTGTGAATTTGGTTATTCGGATAAATATTGTGACGTGATCCACAGCTTTATCCAGGTAACAAGTGAATTCATTTTTTATTACATTTTCATTTATATCTTAATATATAACTATTAAGTTTAACGTCTTTTTTTTGACGATCCTGAATTTCGAACAACACAATTATAATATTACTTGTCTTGGGGATCTCACGGAAGGAATGTCGGCACCCGATTGCCCATTAATTCTCCTAGAATCATCTCAAGATAATAACTCAATTTCCTTATGATCACTTTGTCAATCAAGACGTCCTCTCGTTCTTTTTGATGGTTCATATACCTGTCCACTATTCCGATGCATATCTCATGTGCTCAATGATATATTTAAGTGATATCGAACTAACGTAGATTTTTATATGATTTAAATCTGAGAAGCACATGCTTGGCCCATTGATAATGTCGTGTCTGTTAAAGAGCATCTCACAATAGAAGATCGCTTAACCACTGCTCATGAAATGGTCACAGCAACCCAATTGGAAATTTCCGTGTTGGTAGATATCATTATAATAATTTCTTAAACTTATATGCTCCATGGCCATTCCGCTTTTTTGTTGTTGTAGATGGTATTTTGAAACTTGTTGGGATGCCCAAAGAAGCACGATATTATACAACAGATCTGGTTAAATGTTTAGATAGTCTTTTGAATGAAAATAAATAGAATAAATGTGTCTTTAATTTCATTTTTGCAACCACTTATATTAATTTTATCTGTTGAAAATTTTTTTTGATAATAAAATAAAATTATAATAATATATCTTTAGTGACAAGATCTGTTTACTGTAAGCCAGGAACATTGGTGGCTAAATATTATATTATAACATTAAAATGTGCCAGAAATGCTGTACAAAATAAGAGAAATTTAATATTTATATACATACTTTAACTTTGGACTTTCACAACGAAACAAAATATTAACATTGAAATTAGATTAACAAATTAGATTAACAATACATAGAAGTTCAATTTATATTTCATCATTTTAATTTATTATTATTTTTTATTGTAAGAATAATACAATAAAATTTATCTCGTATAATGATTGTTTTAAATTTAATTTTTTTCTTGTTTCAAAATATTTTTTTGGGGTAACTTTTCTCTTTTAAATCATAAATGGCACTGATTTATAATCCCAAATAATTTATATAAATGAAAAAAATAGCCATAAATTTTTGATATTTTTGAGTGCAATTTATTTGCCTGCACAAAAGTATATAAAGAAATTTTTTTTAAAAAAAAGTAGTTGGATAGCTGTCGGATTGTGATAAGCCACATTTATTGATGTCTCTTCTTTCATCGATTAATGATTATAATTAATATATGCTCAAATTTCTTTTGATCAAATGACTATATAATTTTAAATTCAATAAAATTAAAAAATACTGTTACGACTTCTTAAACCCATGACCACCAACATTGACACCTAAATCAATATATTAGACGAATCTAATATTATCATGTTTCAGTCCACAGAACTAATAATTATCATAAGAAGAAACACGATTGGAATATATTGGTGGAATTAAATAAGGATATTTTCACACACGAGAGTTAAAGTCATGAAATTGGTTATTTATTTTTAATTTTAAAATATGTATATTAAATTAATATTTGTAAAAATATGATCGAAAGAAAATAAAATTATGTAATTATAATTAAAATATTATTTTTATATTGATAATTAATAATAAAGAATTTGAATAGATTAAATAGACTTTTTAAAATTAATTAAATAAATATATAAATAATTATTTTGCACACTTTCATTCTTTTACCTTTCCATTTATTTATTTTTCGTTCACTCTCCTTTATTTATTCCTTTATACAATCTTTATATAAACAATTAAATTTATTAAAAATACTTGTACCCTATTTATACCTAAAAAAAGAAAGGAAAGAATTGCACTTACTGACTGTAGTAACGAGTCGACGACAAATTAAAACATATTTCTGCAGATGGATCCTTGTCATCAAAAATATTTCAAGATTCACTAGAAAAATATGAAAGTCATTAAATATATCCTAATTTATTAAAATATTCCATACACATTAGTTTGTGGCTAATACTTTTATCAAATAAAAATTGAGACGGGATTTTTACAAAAGAGTTGTGATTGTTCTTACTATAGCGAATCAGCAATTAAAATATTTGATAGATCTAAATAGAGTATCTCCTGTTGACAGAGAAGATAGTAATTATTAATTATTAAAATTGAATGAAAATATTTTAGATTTTGATATAAGATGAGTTTTATTTTTTAACATCTTCATTCTAAGAAAAGCAATAAGAAAATGTGAAATGATATAAATCTATATTATTAGTATTTGTTACAAATACTTTTATATTCGGTATTCGATTTTTTATAAAAATCGATTTACGTCACATGATCGCACTAATTCACTAATGACTTTTATAGCATTTATTTGACTAATAATAACTTTATTGTAAAGAAGTATTAATATTAATCATCTATTTTGATAAATATCGTATAAAAAAAAACAAATAATATTCATATTCATTTGATTCATTTAAAAAAATTTTGCTTTAAACTGATTAATAATCATCATTTTAGATTGGCTATGTAATAAGAAATCTTAATTCCAATAAAAATGATTCATATAAGTTTCCAGAGATATTAGTAAGTACATAGTCATATCCATATTTACTGACTATTAACAACCAATAATACTTCATCGTTAGTATTCTTTATTTTTATTGACATCTAAATAAATGAAAGAATATACATCTACATTAGAAAGCCCTACCCTATTTAGAAAAATGCCTTGGTTTCTATTTTTTTAAAAATTTATTAGTTTATTTGTTGTTTACGTTTAAATTATATTTGTTCTTTATTCATTTTTTTTAAAAAAAATTTAAATTCATGCTTTAATCATCGAGTACAAGGTAAAAAGATACACCAATTATACCATATGAATGTATAAAAAAATTGAAAGTCAAAACCTAGCTCCAGCTCTAAGAAGGTCCTCCACAACAATAATTATCACTATATTTATCATTATTATTACAATTGTTTTTCTTTCTATTAATTTGTTAAACTATATTACTACTTATATTAATAATATTATTATTCATTTTCTCACTTAAACTATTATCATTATCGATTTCAAAATTTTATTTTTTATAGAATATTGCCAAAATACCATCTGTTTCGACATAGCATATGATATGATAATAATGTTAGATAAAAATACATATGCAAATTATATTTATTTCGTTTCATTTTCCATGAATATCATGTGGATCATGTGAATAATAGCCAATAATAATATGTGATATAAAAAATATTGTGGAACCATATAACATATGATAAGATAATGATTCAAAACAATGTACTGCCAAAATTAGATGCACCATTGCATGAAAATTAGACAAAATAAGAATACTAAATAACTATTCATTTATTTATTATGTGATCCAATTCTTTGATACGACGATTTTCTTTATGGAATTTCGAAAAGGAGTTCGTTATCTCGAAGTTACATCGATTGTAAATCCAAAATTACAAGCTCAGCGTTTTATTTATAAAATCGAATATAGAAAATAGCCACATCGCACGAAAATTAAAATTTATTTTTATTATTAAAAATCCCCCAAAAATTGAAAATCATACATGTCTTTTATAAAGAACAAAATGGTGATCGTCAAAGGAACAAATTGAGCTTTGATGCAGCGGCTTGGCACTACGTACATGGACCCTTTGAATCAAAAGTAATTCCAACGTGAATCGTTCCTTTTTTATCAAAAAGAGCACATTAATAAATATTCTTATTCTAATTTAATGTTATATATTCATTTAATGGAAATACTGTGACCATTATTGTTGTACAAATGCATACAACCGGAATTTATTTAATCCGATAATGCGGCTGTTAGCAATATTTTTTTTTTTAGATTTTAAGAGAAAAAATGGAAGAATTGGAAGAAATGAAAGAAATGAGAGAAGCAGAAGAATTGGAAGAATCGGAAGGATTGGAAGGATTGGAAGAAATACAGGAATTAGATTATTAGTAGGCATATTGCTATCATTATTTATTGTTTATAATAAATTACATATATTAAAATACATTTTCGATCAATTATAATTAATTATATAAATTATATTACAGCGAGTGAGTATTTAGATTCATGATTATTGAAAAATATTGCATAACAATTCTCTAATCAATTATAAATTAATCACAATATATATTAATTACAGCGAGTGAGTATTTAGATTCATAATTATTGAAATCAATGTTTCAATTTAATCAAATATAATATAACAATTCACTAATTGATCATAAAACTAATCAATATAAATTATATTACAGTGAGTAAGTATTTAGTTCAAATCAATGTTTCAATATCATGTAATAATCCTCTAATCAATTATAATCCAATCAATATAAATTATATTATAGTGAGTGAGTATTTTGATTCATAATTATTGAAATCAATATTTCAATATCATATAAAAATTCATAAACTAATCAATATAAATTATATTACAGCGAGTGAGTATTTAGATTGTAATTGTTGAAATCAATGTTTCAATATCATTTAACAATTCTCTAATCGATTATAAACAATCAACATATATATTATATTACAGTTAGTGAGTATTTAGATTCATAATTATCGAAATCAATGTTTCAATATTATATAACAATTCTCTAACCAAACATAAATTAATCAATATAAAATATCTTACAGTCGGTGAGCATTTAAATTCATAATTATTCAATATTATAACACAATTCTCTGATCAATTATAAATTAATTAATATAAACTATATTAAAGTCGGTAAGTATTTAGATTCATAATTATTTAATTATTAAATTAATATTTCAATATTATACCACAATTCTTTGATCAATTATAAATTATTAATATAAATTATATTACAGCTTGTGAGTATTTAGATTCATAATTATTGAAATCAATGTTCCATATCATATAACAATTCTCTAATCAATTATAAACTAATTGAATATAAATTATATTACAGTGAGTGAGTATTAAGATTCATAATTATTGAAATCAATGTTCGAATATAAATATTACAATTCTCTAATCAATTATAAACTTCATATATATTATATTAAAGTTGGTAAGTACTTAGATTCATATTGATGAAATCAATATTCAATATCAAATAACAATTCTCTAAATCAATTATAAACTAATCAATATAAATTATATTACATCACAGCAAGTAAGTGTTTAGATTCATAATTATTGAAATTAAATGTTTTAATATATAACAATTCTCAAATCAATTATAAACTAATCAACATAAATTATATTACAGCGAGTGAGTATTTAGATTCATAATTATTGAAACCAATGTTTCAATATTATATAACAATTCTCTAACCAATTTTAAACTAATCACATATATATTATATCACAGTTTGTGAGTATTTAAATTCATAATTTTTGAAGTCAATGTTTCAATTATAAACTAATCAATAAAATTATATTACAGTGAGTGAGTATTTAGTCCAAACCAATGTTTCAATATCATGTGACAAATTCTCTAATCAATTATCAACCAATCAATATAAATTATATTATAGTGAGTGAGTATTTTGATCCACAATTATTTAAATCAATATTTCAATATCATATAAAAATTCATAAACTAATCAAATATAAATTATATTACAGCGAGTGAGTATTTAGATTGTAATTATTGAAATCAATGTTTCAATATCATTTAACAATTCTCTAATCGATTATAAACAATCAACATATATATTATATTACAGT